GGCCGAGGTCAGGAGCCTTGTGCCACCAGCAGTAAGAGCCTGCCTGCCTCGCGAGACCGTGGGGCCTGCCCCTGTTCAGACACTGGGCGGGAGGCTGGGAGGAGGGAGGCGCTGGGCCGCCGAGGGCCGGGCTCTGGGTCTGCTGCTCCCGCACAGACCTCGGGGAGATGCCGCATGGTGCGGCGGGGCGGCCTGAGGATCGCCAGTCCCCAGCGCGTGCACAAGCATGTCTGTGTCTCGGAGGGGCTGGTGGTGGCAGCTGCTCGGCCCCCACAGCCTGGGGGTGTGGCGTGACAGGGTTCGGAGGTGCCGGCACGTCTCAGGGCAGAGGGCCTCCCTGGGCAGCTGCAGACACAGGACCAGCGGCTGCTTCGTTAGAGGAAAGAGGTTCTGGGGTCGGGCTTCCCAGAACTAACGTTACAGCTATTTGGTTTTGTCTTTCAGTTTTTTCAAAGGTTCTGTTTATTTACTTGTTTTTAGATGGGGGAGGGAGGGAGAGAAACATCAGTGTGTGGTTGCCTCTTGTGCACCCTCTACTGGGGACCTGGCCTGCAACCCAGGCGTGTGCCCTGCCTGGGAATCGAACCAGCCACCCTTTGGTTTGCAGGCCGGTGTTCAGTCCACTGAGCCACACCAGCCAGGGTGAAAGGTCTGTCTTTAACAGCTAACGCTGTCATTGTTGTCGGCAGAGAACAAGTCTGTCGACACGGCGGGGGCGGGGGGGTGCCTGTAAAAGCCTCCCGGACCCCGGGCCACACGCGTGGGCTTCCCTCTGCCGTCCGTTCGTCCGTCGGCAGGGCCGGGTGGGCGCGTGCCAGGGACGCTGCAGGGCAACCTCGCCCCTCGGGGTCCTCGCTGCCGACGGCCGGAGCCGGGCCCTGGAGCGACCGCGCCATCTCCCTCCTAGATCACCACGGTCTGGCACGGGACCCTCGTGAAGCTGCTCCGGAGCCTGTACGCGCTGGAGCTGCCGGCCTCCTCCCGGGAGCTGCGGTCGGTGGAGCAGGAGGTGCGCTGGCGCCTCCGCAGGCTCAGGTACAAGCACCTGGCCTTCCTGGCCGAGACCAGCGCCACCCACATGCAGGCGCGCGGCTCCGGGGAGCTGCTGGCCGACCTGCTCCTGCAGCTGGAGCGGCGCTGGGCGGAGATCGAGGACGGCCGCACGCTGGTGGCCGTCATGGCGAGGATGGGGCACCTCTCGGAGCCGCTGATGACCCGCCTGGAGGACAAGGTTCGGGGGCTGGGGGCAGGGCCTGTGGGGGGGGGTGGCGGCCGGGCCCTGGTCCTCCGGCTCCCTCCTGAGGGGCCTCGCACACACGTCCGCCCCGCGTGGGGCCGGGCCGGGGGCTGCCTCCGGGAGCCGCCCAGAGGGCCCGTGGGCAGTGCGCTCAGGCCCAGTTGCTGTCTCACAGGGGCCGCGCCGCACGGGACCCTGGCCCTCGGGCCCGCCCTGACCCCTGCCGGCTGTGGTTGACAGAGCCTGGACCTGGTGGAGCAGTTCGGCCCCGAGGAGCTGCGGAAGGTGCTGTTGGCGCTGGCAGCTCAGAACCGGCGGTCGGTGCCCCTGCTGCGGGCCATCTCCTACCACCTGGTGCAGAAGCCCTTCCCGCTGACCAAGGGCGTCCTCCTGGACCTGACCTATGCCTACGGTGAGCCCTGCCCCGGGGGCGGGTGGGCGCACCGGCTGCAGCCGAGTCAAATTCGGGGCCCGCCCCGCCCGTGGCGGGTCCCGGCTCCGCAGGCTGCCACAGCAGCACTGTGACTCATGGGCCCTGTTCCCCTGCTGGGCCTCAGGGATAAGTTTGGTCACAGACACCAAGTGCCTGGACCTGGAGGCCAGGGGGGTGCTGGGTGGGCCACCGGGCAAACCCCAGGGTCTGCTCTGTCCCAAAGGCAAACTCAGCTTCCACCAGACCCAGGTGCTCCAGCGCCTGGCCGCCGACCTGCTGCCCCACATGCCCAGCCTCACGTCCGGCGAGGTGGCCCGCTGCGCCAAGTCCTTCGCCTTCCTCAAGTGGCTCAGCCTGCCCCTGTTCGAGGCCTTTGCCCAGGTGAGCGGAGCGTGCACCTGAGGCCCTGGGGCTAGTGGGCCCCTTGGGGGGACCCAGGGGACAGAAACGCCCCCGGTGTAGACACGGGGTTCCTGCTGCGGCGTCCCTGGAGAGGCACAGCGGCGGGGAGGATGCGAGTTGACGGCGATTTTCTCCCCGTCCCCTCCCCCCATTGGTCTCTGGTGGCCGTTGGGGAGCCGTGGGGAAGGTGAGTCTGGGAACCCACCCGGCTGTGCCCCCGACGGAGTCCGGGGGCCGGTGCTGTCTGTGCTCCAGGTCTCGGGCAGCGGGTCGGAACGGCCCGCGCGGGTCTGGCCGCGCCCTGTGGCATCAGCCCTTGGGGGGCGCCCTCACCCCGCCCCTCCGCCCTCACCCCGCCCCCAGCACGTCCTGAGCGAAGCCCCGAGCATCGCGGCGGCACCCCTCTGCAACGTGCTCCTGGCCTTCGCCCGCCTGAACTTCCGCCCGGAGCAGGAGGACGCCTTCTTCAGCCTGGTGCGGTCTCCCCGCCCCCGCGTCCTCCCTGTGGGCGGCATGGGTGCAGCGTGGGGGGGGGGGGCTGGGCAGGGGCCGCAGGGCGGAAGGGGCTGGCTGGGGGCAAAACTCGGGACCCCAGTGCACCAGCTGTCCGGCCCAGAGCAGTTTCGGGTCAGGGAGGTCCCCAGACAGGGCCCCTGCCGGGGGTGGGGGCAGCACCCGGGCGGCCAGCTGCTGTCCTCCTACCCTCCAGTTCCTCCCGGGCTGGACGCACCCTCCTGCACTGGGCCTCCTGTGGTCCTGCAATGCAGGCCCTGCCCGCGTGCGGGAGGGGGAGATGGGGAAGCCCAGTTCCTCATCCTTCTGTCCAGATGGGTCCTGGGGGTAGGGGTGGTCTCCGGTACTTTCCCCGGGGGGCCCAGCCTGACCAGAGGGCCTCTGTTGGGGCTGCTCCGTAGCCACCTTGGCCTGAGCACGGCCAGGTCATGAGGCGGCACAGACCGGCCAGCCAGGGCGTCCACATCTGCTGAGCAGAGCCCACCCCTGAGCCCCGCCCCCCGCCCCCAGGTGCACGAGAAGCTGGGGTGTCAGCTGGCGAGCCTGGACCCGGCCCTGCAGGTGGACGTGCTGTGGGCCCTCTGTGTGCTGGGGCAGGCCCAGGAGGCCGAGCTCCGGGCGGTGCTGCGCCCCGAGTTCCACACCCAGCTCCTAGGTGAGCGGCGGGGGTGCCCCTCCCTCCTGCACGGACGGGGGTGGGCCTGGCGGCTGTCCCCAGGCCCCATTGCCAGGCGGGGAGCAGGGGAGCGGGGCAGGCCGGGGCTCCCCGCATTTGCTGCTCTGCCCCCCCGAAGGGGCCCCCTCTCTGCCCCTGACTGAGGCCAGAGCAGAGCCGGATGGGGGCGCTCAGCCCCTCCCCCTGGGCTTCGGTGGTCTCCCCCCCCCCGTCCTCCCGCCCCTCAGCTCCCCCCCCCCCACTCACTGCACCTCTTCCCGTAGGCGACGGGTCCCCAAAGGGTCAGAGCACCTTCCAGAAGCTGCTGCACATCAACACCACCGCCCGGCTGGAGCGCCCCGAGTACGCTGGCCCTCTGCTGCCGGCCTCCGCCTTGGTCCCCAGGCCCTCGGCCCCGGACAGGAAGGCGACGCCCCTGCAGAAGGAGCTGCAGGGGGCCCTGGCAGGGCTGCTGGGTGGCACCGACAGGGCCCGCTTCACGGTGCCCACGCAGTACGGCTGGGCTCTGGGTGAGGCTCCCTTCCTTCCGCCCGGCCTGCTCCGAGGCCTGTCCTGTGTGTGGGGTCCCCCCCCCCACTCTCTGGAGAGACTCCATTGTCACCTGCCACCCCCTCCCCAGATGCTGAGGTGCTGCTGGACGCCGAGGGCCAGTTCCTGCCCCTGAGGGACTTCGTGGCCCCTCACCTCGCCCCACCCTCTGAGGGCCAGCCACTGCCCCCCGGGGCCAAGAGGTAGGGCGCACGGCCCCCGGGCCACCCCTGGCTCCTCTCTGGCGTTGCCCTTCCCTGCGAGGACAGGGACAGCGGCCAGCACCCAGCGCCCCCCTCCCTCCCCCCAGGCTGGCCTTCCTGCGCTGGGAGTTCCCCAACTTCAGCAGCCGGAGCAAGGACCTGCTGGGGCGCTTCGCGCTGGCCAGGCGCCATGTGCTGGCGGCCGGCTTCCTGGTGGTGGATGTGAGCACCCTCGGGGCGGCAAGGGGGGGGCACGGGCGGGCGTCCGCGGGGCTGCGGGGGCGCCTCCCGCCCGGGAGACCCTCAGCACCTCCCCCTCTCCTCCCAGAGGGTGGCGGCCTGGGAAGGGCTGGGCCCACGGCTCTTCGAGCCCCACGGGGTCCTGTCGAGGTGTCTTCTCTGGGTGCCCTTTTTAAACAGCTCTTTAAAAATTGGAGCCATTTTCAGCCCCACCCAGTTCTGAGCCCTGACGAGCGTGGCGTGGGTCCCCACTCCCAGCCCCCACGCCGTCGGGACCTGGGGCCGGGCTGACTCCACCCCCGCCCTCCGCCCCAGGTCCCGTACTACGAGTGGCTGGAGCTCAAGTCCGACTGGCAGAAAGGCGCCTACCTCCAGGACAAGATCCGGAAAGCGGTGGCGGAGGACCTGGCCAAGTGACCGGCCCCGCACGGGGGCTGCGTGCCCCAGGGCCGGACTCCCCAGAGGCCTGGCCGTGGACCCTGGGTGGGCAGGGGGGCTGCTCAAGGACAGGGCTTGCACACGGCCTGGGCCAGAGCGGTGCTGGCCGGCGGCCAGAGCGGAGGAGGGCCCTGGGCCCCCTTGTGGGCAATAAACCTTCACTTTGGTGTTTGACACCAGAAGGCACTGGGCTCTGACGTGACTCCACGCCACCCCCACACACACACGCACACACACCCACCCGTCTCCTGTGGGCAGGGGTGGGCAGCCAGGGGCATCTGCTGCCCACAGGGCACCGCCCCCTGCACTTCCACACGGGGCCACCTTCGCTTAGGGCCTGTCCGCAGCCGGGGCCCTGGAGTCACGAGGCCAGTTGGGGGTCACTGCCAGGCTCTGGCATCTGACAGGGGTCGGGGGGGCGGGGCTCGGCTCGGGCTGACCAGTGGTGTGAGGGCTGCATACTGGGGGGGGGGGGGCACTGGAGCAGGAGCGGGGAGGAACCACTCACTGCCCCGCAGAGCTGCACTGCCTGTGCTGGGAATGGGCTGGGCCCCCCCCCCATCGGGCCCCTCCCCAGACACTCCGCTGGCCGAATACAGCTGCAGGGGACCGGGTGCGGTCACTGGCTCGCAGCAGCACGGCCTGGTTGCAGCCTCCTCACCGAGGGGCGGGGTCGTGGGGGCTGCCGGGCGCCAGTGCTCAGGACCCGCGTCTGGCACTGGTGCAGTTGGAAGGGGGAGCAGCCAGCATTCCAGAGTGAGGGCCAGCCACCGGCGTGCAGAGCCCATTGGGGTCTCCAGAAGATTCCACTGGGAATGCGCAAGCCACCACCCACCACCCAGGACCTCGGTGTCTGCTCAGACACAGCCACCTGTGCCTCCTGAGAGGCAGCTGTGGGCCCTGTGCCCTCGGGGGGGGCTGGCACACCACCGCTCGGGGGCCCTGACAGAATGTCCATCTCCGGGGGGGGGGGGGGGGGGCTTTGCATCACCGTGACCCGCGTCTTGCCCTGGACTCGGGTTGCCTTTGCTCTCAGCCAGCAGCGACCACAACCCGCCCTCCCTTTCTGCTTTGTCTCAAGAACGTTCTCTCTCGAGGAGTCCCACTGCACCCTGCGTCCCTGCAGAGCCGGGTCTCGGGGGCTGCTCTGCGGCCCCCTCCCTGGCCCTGCCGTGTTCGCACCCGGCGCAACGGGTGGGCGAGGTGCCCCGCTGGGCGGGTCTCCCCTGCCGCCCTGACCCGTGGTTCTCGTTCGCGTTTCCCTGCCGCCCGGCGGCGCACACCCCGAACCCTGCTCGTCCTCCGCGGGGTCCCGCCCCTCCGGCGTTCCCGCCCACGGTGACCCTGGTGCCGTCCGTGTGTGGGGTCCTGCTGCTTCGTCTCTGCAGAAGCACCTGTCAGACCCCCGTTACCGAGTTCTAGGGCTCCGTGCGCCCCACGAACAAGTCGCCCACGTGGGGGGGGGGTGGACGCGCAGACAGTTCCTGCCCCTCTCGAACAACCTCCGTTGAATTTGTTCCTGGGCAGCTCGCTCCTTGTGCCGCTGCGAAGGGGATTCTTTCACTTCCGTTTCGGACTGTTCACCGAAAGGTGATGCAAACACAGTTGGTTTTTATCGATCCCGAACCCTCCAGTCTTGCCAGACTAACTCCTGGTCCTAGTGCTCGCTTTGAAGATTCCGCCCGGGGGTCCGCGTCTCTGTCCCGTGCGTCTGTGGGTCTGTCTGTGCGCACGTGGGGTCCCCAGCGAACCTGGGGCGCTCTCGGCTCCACGCCGCGCGTCTGTCGGCGCCTGCCCGGCGCTCTGTGCTCCTGCGGCTCTGCGTTTCCTCCCCTCCCCCCCCTCCGGCGTGCCCACTCTCCTGCGCCCCACCCTCGAGTCCACCGCCGCGGCCCGTCCGCTCCCCTGCGCGCCCCCCTGGGCAGTGCGCGGCCTCCCGCCTCCGAGCCGTCCTTCCGTGCCGCGCACACCGGCCACGGCCCTCCCTGTCCGGCACGGCCTCGGGCCGACTCTGCCGCCGGCCTGTTCACTGCTGTGTGGGTCACTTTCCTGCGTTTTTTGTTGCAGATCGGACGTTTTGGATGAAATATTTAACAACTCTGGGTACTGACCACCACCCCCCCCCGCCCCAGGCTCCTCGCTGTCGTGAGCAGCTGGAGTCTCCCGCCGGGGTCTGTGGCCCCGCAGCCGCAGACTCGGACGCTCGCCTCGGGGAGGGGCCGCTCTGCAGCCCGGGACGCTCCGAGTTAGGTCCGCGGCCCCGCCCCCCTGGCCGTGCACCACGTCCCCGCCGCCCCCGCCGCCCCCGCCGCCCCCGCCGGTGGAGAGCCCCGGGCTTGACCTCCCCCCGCCCTGCTGCCTGGAGTCTGCGGCGCCTGCAGGAAGGGACCAGGCCCCGCAGCCCGCCTCTCCCCGGCGAAGCAGCTGCAGAGTCCCCGGGCCGGGGCCGGGGCCGGGGCCGGGGCCGGGGGCCGGGGGCGGGGGGCGGGGGGCGGGGGCGGCCTCTTGCGGCTTCGCGCCCCGCCGCCCCAGGAGCTGGGGGGCGTGTCCAAGGCGGGGTCCCCCCCACAGTGGGGCTGAGCGGGAGGAGGGAGCCCCACCTCTCAGTGGCACCACCTGGGCTCGGCTGCAGGTGGGGGGGAGGCCACGGGGCAGGAAATGGGAAATCCCCCCAGGGAGGAAGCCCCGGACGGCGGGGGGTGGGGGGACGGGCTGTGTCCGCGGCCGCCGGGCCTGGGGGTGAATTCCCTTGGCCGGCCCCGCCGGGGGTCCGCTCGGCTGATTGACTCCGAGTCCCCGCCTCGCCCTGGCTTCGGGGGTCGGGCCCGCGTTTCCCTGCGTCCTCCTCCAGTTCTCGTCCCGCCGCCCGGGCCCCCCGGGCCCCCGGGCGAGTCTTCTCTCCGCGGGCTGCCCTCCCGCGCCCGGCGGGGGGGCCTCTAACTGTCGCCCTCGTCCTCGCCCGCGGAGCAGCCCGCCCGGCGCGGCGCCCGTGTCCGGGGGCTCTTCCCTCGCGGCGGGCTCTGCCGGGGTTTTCCCCGCGTCTCGCCACGTGGGCCGCTGCCTGCGGACGCCCCGGGGGCCGGTGCTCGAGTCCTGCACCTCCGCGCCGCCGCCACACGGCCGGCCACCTTTGCCCAGCCCAGCGGGACGTCCCCGGTCGGGCCGGTGGTCTCCCGCTGTGTCCTGGGCGGCTGGGCGGCCGGGTTCGAGTCGTCCGTCCGTGTGAGCCAGCCGGCAGCCCTCCCGGGCCGCGGTGGTGGCCCCTGGTTCCAGTGACAGTGTGGTGCAGACAGGCTGGGGGCACGGCCCCTGCTGGGGTCCCCGGATGGGGGGATAGGAAGGTGCTCTGTAGTGGGATCCCCCTGGCCGGAGCCCCCCACGCCCCCTGCAGCGCCTGGGCTGGGGGGAGCTGGGCCCCTCTGCGGGCCCGCCCTCCGAGTGCCCCTGAGGGGCCTGCGCGGGGTGTCTCCGGCTCCCGGCGTTTACCCTCGGGCTACGCGGGGGCGAGGAGGCAGCCTGTGCCGTCTCGGCCGCACCCAGAGCCCCTCGAGCCCTCCGACGGGCTGTCGGTTCCCAGCGGTGGCCGCAGAGCGGGCAGCGGGCAGGCCAGTGGAGCTAGGAAGGACAGGCCGCGCGACTCGCAGCCCCTGGGAGTGGGGGCCAAGTGGCGGGAAGGGAGTCCCCGCAGGGGCCCGCGGATGGGCCGGTTTCCAACGACTGCAGGGACGGAGGATGCGGGCCGGGCGGTTGGTGCAGCAGAGACGCCGGGCGGGGGGCTCCGGGGCGGGGCGGCAGGGGACCCGGCGGCGGACACAGCCTCCCGCCAACAGCGGGCCCGACTCCCTGCCCGTCTGCGCCGGCCCGGGCGGGGACCGTGTCTCCCGGAGCCTGGCACGGGCGGGGGCTCGCGCCCTGGGGCGGGGCCGGGTTGGGGGAGGAGGGTGGGTCTCTCCGGGTTCCAGGCAGAGCTGAGGGTGGGGCAGCGGTGCTCAGGGACCAGCTTCCTCTCCGGCTCTGGTTGCCATGGAGACCAACTGCTAGCACCAGCCAATCAGGATGCGCGGGGCCAGCTCACGTCTTGGATGGAGACATCGGGCTGGGCGGGGACACTGACCCGCGCAGGTGGAGGCCACGAAGGGGGAATGGGGGGGCGAGGAGGGGCTGCGTCGCCTCCGCAAAGCGCCCTGGTCCGCAGAACCTCCAACCACCCCCGCCCCGCACCCCGAGGTCTGGCGACGCGGCGCGCACACTCACTCACGGCGGGGCGGCGCCGGCGTCACCCACTGACCGCCCCCCTCCCTCCCGGGCGAGGGGCGGTGGCTGCGCTGCGAGCTCCACGGGACGGACTCCGGGATCCGGCCTGACCGGACGCTGACACTCTGCCCGCCTCCTCGGTCCCGCTCACCTCGCGTCCCAGCGTCTCCTCCGCGCCCCTTGGCGCACTTCGGCCCGGGACGTTTGCCAGGTCGCCTGTGCTCGCGGCGCCCTGCGGGGCTCTCCCGACCGGACGCCGGGGCCCCCTGGCTCCCTGCTCCGGGAGAGCAAGCGGTCACCAGCCGTCCAGCCGGGGCGACACAGGACAAAGACGCTCCTGAAGCTCTCGTCCAGGCCCGCGCACGGGCGTCTGGGAGTGACTGCTGTGTGGCTAACTTTGCCGTCATCCATTCTGTTTCAGAGGTTAGCATTCACACGCTTTCCTATTTAAACCGTGAGTCGGGACCACTTCCGACACACCTCCCGCACCAGGTGCGAGGGCCTCTGCTCGGGGCCGACGGGGCTGTTTCCCGGGCCTCCCGGCGCCGCAGAGAAGGAGGGGCGCATGCAGGAGGGGCGGCCTTCTCTGCACGGGTCGGTGCTTCCTTTGCTCTCGGCAGAGACCCCTTGATGGGACCTGCTGGGCCTGCTGCCCCCAGGAGTGTCGGCTCCTGTGGGATCTCCCCCGGCCCCGAACACAGACAGACATTCCTCCAGCTGTGGGGCCGCTCTCTCGGAGCGGGCAGTGTCACAAACCTGTCTGACTTTCGCTGGGACTCTCCCCCATTCTGTCCTTTCTCTTCTGAAGTGCGTCACCTGGAGGGGTCTGCGTGAGCGGGTTCTGGAGTCCCCCCATCACCCCCTCAGACCCAGGGGACCTGCAGCTGGGACACACCAGCGACCTGCCTGGCCGCGGCCCCGCCCCCACAGCTGCTCCCCACCGACACTGGGGCCTGGGGCTCGGCTTTGCGACCGGCCTGTGCCCTCCCTGCGCAGTCGGAGCCCGGGGGGGCTCCTGCAGAAAGGGGAGGCCTGTTCCAGACCAGCGGCCCCGTGGCCGCGACGCAGCATCTGCAGAACAGCCGTGGGAACCGTCCGCCCGGGTCAGAAGGCGCAAACCCGAGCAGATGCCTCACCGGAGACGGTGCGCACTCGCTGCAGGCGAACACCACACTGGGTGTGAACGCTCCCAATCCCTCGTGTTTGCACCGTCCAGAGGGTGCCGATGGTAGTGTGGTATAAATCCCTAATGCTCTTCTACGTGTGTGGTTTTGTAAAGCAAATACGGGTTCCTGGTGTCCCCTCTCGCAGCATGTGACTCCTGTCCGTGGCGTCCACCGTGCGTGCCCCGTGGTGTCCGTGTCCTGCTGTGTTTCCGTGCGCACGTGAACAGTCCACTGCTGCTCTCCCGGGTTCTACACGCAGGGGCCGTGGCGTGCAGCCCGGCAGGGAGACCGGTGCGCACAGCCCTCGGCCTGTCCTCGGGGCCCATCACTAGAAGTTGGGGTGCAGCGGGTGTGTGGGTCCACCCCCCTCAGGAACGGCCACACCGGCCCCCTTCCACGTCAGAGCACTGGCTCCTCTGAGCCTCCCCCGCCCTGGGTGTCTGTCGTCATTAAAGAACATTTGCCACTTTTAACAGAGGAAAAAAATGGTGTCTCCTTGCTTCGATTTGCATTTGTTATTTCCAATGAAATTTTATATGCTTTCTGGTCGTTTGTACCTTTCTGAGAACTGCCAGACATTGCTGCCGGCAGCCAAAAGCGCTGGTCCGTCCTTTCGGTCTGACTCGGAGAAACAAAGGTGCTGAGCCGTGGACACGAGGTCCCCGCGCGTCCTTGGGGGGGAGAATGTGACGACGCAGAGGCAGCCTGAGCCCTGTTCTGCTTGTCTTCCGTTCCCGTCTCCCTGGTGCCCCAGGAGTGCACCCACGCCCCAAGTGGGGCTGTGGGCCCTCTGCCTCCCGTGTCCAGCCATCGGATGCCGGGGGCTGCGGGGGTCGACGACCCCAATACTCAAGGGCTCAGGACCCCAGCTCAGTGCACTGACACCCGTGGGGGACCCCATGCAGCCCTGACCCCCACCCACTCATGGGGTGTGAGCCTCTAGTGAAAGCCCCCGAAGCTGTACCTGCAGGAATAACCCAGAGTCTAGGTCAATGTCAGGGAGCAGCACTTTGCCTGTCCTTCCTCTCGGCAGCCAGCAGAGGGCAGTAGAGGCTGGTGCCCGTTTGGGGCTCTGCCTGATGAGGCCTTAGAGCCGCCCAGCCCCAGGGCCAGGATTCTGGAGGTCAGGGGCCTTGAGTCTGGGGCTAGGAACATGGGAAGTAAGAGGACCCTCATGGGCCTCTTGGCCAAGAGGGTGTGTACACGCCGCCTACTCTGAAAAAGCGGCCCGGGAGGAAGGAAGTAGCCCAGGGTGCAGCCACACCTGTTCTCAGGTGCCGGGGTGTCCGTCAGAGGACCGGAGGCAGCTAAGAGCTACCTGCCTGGACACACAGAGGCTCTTCTTCTGTGAGCTCCACAAGCCCCACTGCCAGGCTCTGCGGGTGGAGCTCCTCCCGGGGCCGCACTGCTCCCCTGGTGAGACCCACGGAGAAGACGAGACCCTCTCCCTGCGCTGTCCGTCTTCACTCCTCAAAGCCCGGCTCCGTCCGACACCGACACACCCTCCTTCCCTGTTTGGGCTCCTCTTCGGGGAAAAACACCTTCTTGGCCGTATTTCTGCCTGCGATTCTCCACTTAAACGTGACGAAAACGCTCTGTGTTTGAAACAGATTTTTGTGACGGGCAGTGAGAAGTGGAGACTTCACAACGGCTGGCGTTGCTGGAGCCCTCGGTCCGTTCTGTCCGACTGTCCAGTGTGCTTGTGCCACATGGTCCCCGGCTTTCCCGCCGCCTCCGACGCTGGCAGGGTCTGCAGGGGCGTCCTCGGTCTCAGTCCTGAGATGGGTGGTTCACAGCCTCTCTCTCTTCGTCGGGCTGGCTAGAGGCTGGTTGGTCCCCTTGGTCGTTGAAGAAATTAGCATCGTGCCCTGAATGACAGAGCTCAGTGGACTGAGCGCCGGACTACAAACCAAAGGGCTGCTGGTTCGATTCCCAGTCAGGACACAGGCCTGAGTTGTGGACCAGGTTCCCCAGTAGGGGGCGTGTGCGAGGCAACCACACGTTGATCTTTCTCTCCCTCTCTTTCTCCCTCCCTTCCCCTCTGTCTAACAAATAAATAAATAAATAAAATGTTTTTCAAAAAATTCTTCAATGAAGAGGCATAAGAGTGGCTGATGGGATGAAAACACAAGATGCAGCCCTGGCTGGTGTGGCTCAGTGGATTGAGTGGCATAGGCTGGGGAACCAAAGGGTCACCAGTTTGATTCCCAGTCAGGGCACAGGCCTGGGTTGTGGGCCAGGTACCCACTAGGGGGCGCATGAGAGGCAACCACACAGTGATGTTTCTCTCCCTCTCCCTCCCTCCCTTCCCCTCTCTAGCGAGAAATAAACAACATCTAGAAAACAACAATCCAATAAATTTAAAAAAAAAAACCATAATGTCTCTTTTTGCCTCTGGTCATTTTCTTGCTCCAAAGACAACTTTATCTGAAACAAATGGAGTCATTCCTGCTTTCCTTTCATTAATTTGCCTGGTGATTCTTCCCCTCCTGTACATTCAACCTGCCTATGGGGTTCCACCGAATCTGCCCCCAACGCAACCGGACAGAAGGCCCAAACGCTTGGCTGAAAAGCTCGTTGGGCCAAGAAATGCGTTATTGGCCAGAAAGTTCGTTCGGTAAGCTTAAGAAGCCTGAAAATGTTGCTTATTTTCTTCCATCTTTAATATTAAATGCCTGCACAGAAGTTCACAGCTTTTGGTAAGTTTTTTAAAACTTCATGCTGATATGACAGTTGCCCCAATACAATCTAATGCAATTGTTTCAAGTGAAATTAAAGACAACTCAGTGCTACTACAGTCAGCTTATGGAAAAGCAAGTGGACATTTTTTGGCCAAACAAACTTTCTGGCCAGAGAACGAACATTTTGGCCAGCTGAACCAACTTTTGGTTAAACAAATTTCTTGGCTGAACACAGTCTTTTGGCCAATTGAACGAACATTTTGGCCAGCTGAACCAACTTTCTGGTTAAATGACTTTCTTGGCTGAACGGAGTTTTTTGGCCAATTGAACGAACATTTTGGCCAGCTGAACCAACTTTCTGGTTAAATGACTTTCTTGGCTGAACGGAGTTTTTTGGCCAATTGAACGAACATTTTGGCCAGCTGAACCAACTTTCTGGTTAAATGACTTTCTTGGCTGAACGGAGTTTTTTGGCCAATTGAACGAACATTTTTGGCCAGCTGAACCAACTTTCTGGTCAACCGAATTTCTTGGCTGAATGCACCTTTTTTTGGCCAGCTGAACGAACTTTCTGGCCAATCTAACGCATTTCTTGGCCCAACGAGCTTTTCAGCCAGGCGTTTGGGCCTTCTGTCCGGTTGCGTTGGGGGCAGATTCAGTGGAACCCCATAGGCAGGTTGAATGTACAGGAGGGGAAGAATCACCAGGCAAAATTAACGAAAGGAAAGCAGGAATGACTACATTCGTTTCCGATAAAGTCTTTGGAGCAAGAAAATGACCAGAGGCATAGAGGGACATTATTTTTTTTTAATTTATTGGATTGTTGTTTTCAAGATGTTGTTTATTTCTTTTTAGAGAGGGGAAGGGAGGGGGAGAGAGAGGGAGGGAAACATCACTGTGTGATTGTCTCTCCTGCGCCCCCTAGTGGGTACCTGGCCCACAACTCAGGCCTGTGCCCTGACCGGGAATTAAACTGGCGATCCTTTGGTTCGCCAGTTGCTGCCACTCAACCCACTGAGCCACACCAGCCAGGGCGGAGACATTATGTTTTGATAAAGGATCGACCCACCAAGAAGACACTTTCCACACTGTGTACACACCAAACAGACTGCAAAACGCACGCAGCAAAACCTGGCAGAACTGAAGGAAACGACAACCCGACCCGACAACCCACGGTGACGGCCGGAGACGTCACCCCTCTCTCTGTGGCTGGCGACGGGACAAGGGGGAGGAGCCAGCAAGGAGAGAAAGGAACTCAACAAACACGAACTATTAACACCTAACTCGTCCAATATGAAATGGAAATGTTTAATAACCCTAGAATTGTTTTAAAAATCACATTCATGATTTAATCACTCCCCCAAAGAAATTCCCAGGCCCCAATGGTTTCACTGAAGAATCCGACAAACGCCCGTCCATACTCGGGGTGGGGCCCGGACCCCCAGGCACCGGGCGGGCGCGCACTCTGGGCAGGAGAGGAAAACCCCCGTGTTTTGGGGACTCCGAGGTCCGGGGCCCGCACCCTGGGCTCCGCGTTGGCCTGATGCCCGGCTGTCGTGTGGCCCCCGAATGAGTCGGGATGTCTGTCCCAGACGGTCAGTCCCTCGGGGACGGGCGCTGTGCCCGTGTCGTGCAATCTGAGCTGGACGGACGCGAGTAAACACGGCATCAGGGGCTTCACACAAAGTCTGACTGTGAAGGGGGGGACTCGCCCGTGGAGCTTCCCCAGGGGTGACAGTCGTTTTGGACAGTGGTGGACACGGCCCTGGACCTGGACAGGGCAGCCACAGGGCACCTCCTGCCAGGCGAGGTGGGGTGGCCACGGCCGGGGCGGGGGTGGAAGCTGAGACTCTGTGACGCTGAGGAAACTGGGGGGTTTGCTGCCTTAGCGACGGGCGACACGGTCAGTGCAGAGCCGAGGCAGCCACAGGGCTCACGGTGGAGAGCAGGCCACCCGTCAGGGGCCACCCCGTGAGGCGGCATGCCCTTACACCCGGGCCCCCGGGAGCGGCCTCACCCGGTCCACAGGTGGGGACGCTGCTGCCCGGGGCCCCTCCTGAGTCCAGGCAGTGGCTTCAGCAAGGTCACGGCCAGTCAGCTTGGGGAGAACCACCGCCTCCTGGGGCACTGCTCGAGTGTTCCGCAGCCCCTCTGCGGCTCCCCCAGGGACAGGACAGGACAGCCACCCCCACCTGGCGGGCTGGAGGAGCCCCTCCCCGTGGCTGACCTGCCCCCCCCCCCCGAGTCTCAGACCTGTGCTTCCCACAGGCTGGGCCTGCACAGCTGAGAGGCCGGAAAGGGGTTGGTGACCAGATGCCCCTGGGAGGGGACAGAACACCCTCCGACGGCCCCGGCAGGCGCCTGGTCTCTGGGTTTCCGGGGTCTGTCCTGGGCACATGGGGAGGGGGCCTGCCTCCCCCGCCCGCCCTAGTCGTCTGTTCGCCGATTTCTGGGTCGGCCTGGGCAGGACACGGGCCAGGCCGGGGCAGTGGGGCCGGGGGGTGGGCCGCCACAAGGTTGGCCTTGGTGCCGCTGCCATAACGACGACGTAAACCCTAACAGATGAGGGGACTTGAGAGCCGATGGCGAGAGCTGTTGGCATGGGCCTGACCCACTGCCTGGGCTGAGCCTCCAGCCCCGAGGTCCCGCATCAGCAGCGACGGGGGCACAGCCGCAGGCGTCCCACGGCCCGGGAGCCCTCACCGCCCCGCCCCTCCCCTCCCCTCTCCCTCCGGCCCTCCCCCGCCAGACACGGGACAGATGGGGCGGACCCGCGGGGTGACCCACCCTCCCCCGGGGCTGCCACCCACCCCAGAGGCCCTCTGCCCTCTCCCTTGGGGCTGCCGCCTGTGCCCAGCCCCCTGACCGCGGTGTCCCACCTCCAGGAAAAGGCCTTCACTGGGCTTTTCTGGCTCCAGGTCCTTTCTCAGCCACCGCGGCTGTCTGCCGAGAACCTTCCCGGTGGCCTCACTGGCTGTCACCGTCACCCCGGGAGCCTCCCGGCCTCGCCCGGGCACAGCGGCCCACGGGGAGACCGCCCCAGGCCCCGGGGCCGGTCTGAGATGCGAGATGCCAGATGCGAGCCTCAGGCCTTCGCTGGGTCACGAGTCTCCCGTGTCAGGGCCGTTGGCCTCCTGCCTTAGAACCTTTGTCTGCAAAGCTGTTTCTGGCGGACTCTTTGGGGGCTCTGGGGCGGGGCCCGCAGAGGACACACCCGCTGCCAACAACAGCCGCCGCTCTGACTCCCGACCAGTCCCCGCCCAGCGCGGGCAGGGACAGTGTCTCCCGGAGCCTGGCACGGGGGCGGGGGCGGGGCCGGGGCGCCGGCGGGGACTGGGGCGGGAGGAGGAGGGTGGGTCTCTCCGGGTTCCAGGCGGAGAGCTGAAGGGTGGGGCAGCGGAGCTCCGGGGACCATCTTCCTCTCCGGCTCTGGTTGCCACGGAGCCGGGAGGCGGTTGCCATGGAGACCAACCGGCTAGCACCAGCCAATCAGGATGCGCGGGGCCAGATCACATCTTGGATGCAGGCATCCGGCTGGGTGGGGATGCTGACCCGGGCAGGTGGGGGCCGCGAAGGGGGAACGGGGTGGGGGAGCGGGGGCGGGGGTGAGGAGGGGGCTGCGCCGCCTCACGCAGAGCGCCCCCGTTCCCGGAGCCTCCAGCCTCCTCCTCCCCCGCACCCACCCCGCGGTCTGGCCACACCTGCCTCTCCCTGACCCAGCTGAGGGGTGATGCCACGCGGGCACCAGCCCGGCTTCAGCCAGCCGAGCCCCTCTCTGCCGGGAGGGCGGAAGACTCCGCGGAAAAGCCGGGCCTTCGCTCCGCCCGCGGGAGGAGGGCGCGCGCGGAGGGAGGGACCCGCAGTGCCCGGCGGCGGCGCGCACACTCGCTCAGGGCGGGGCGGTGCTGACGTCACCCACTGACCACCCCCCCCTCCCTCCCGGGCGAGGGGCGGTGGCCGAGGCGTGAGCTCCACGGGAGGGACTCACGGACGGACGGGACAGAAGGACTGCCAGGCCATGCCCGGGGAGGCAGCCCGCGCAGAGCGACTGCCGCCGCCGGAGGCAGGAGGCCCCGGGCCCCGCAAAGGTGAGGCCCGCGCTCTCCGCTGCGTGCGTCTCCCCCACGCCTTGTCCATCCCAGTCCCCTCCCCTCCCCTCCCCTCCCCAGCACCCGGACGCCCGCCGACCGCCGCTCAGCCGCCCTGGGACTGTAGTAAAGGCCGGAGTGACCGGCTGGACCCAGCGCTTCGGACCCGGGGCGCCCCATTGTCTGCGCGCAGCCGCGGGCCTGGGCAGGTCGGGACCTGAACCAGGGGCGGCACGTTCCCGGCTGCACCCTGGGCCCGGGGGGGACACTTGTCCCGCAGACGCCTGAGGGCTGCTGAGGACCGGCCCTGGTCCCCGAGGGGGCTCCGGGAGGGGGCCGACGTCGGGGGAGCCAAAGGGGCTGGAGGAGGGGGGTAGGAGGCCCCGAGGGGTGCGGCCTGGAGCTGCGGGCCTCGGGCTGTCCTTGGAGGGCTGGGTCAGCCACCCTGGAGCCGCGGCTGTCTGCCCGGCCTGGGAAGACCCCGCAGGGCGGTCCTGTGTGACTCTGGGGGCCGAGGGCACCTTGCCGTGGGCAGGCCCGAGCTGTCCAGAGGCCAGGCCCCCTCTGCCCCAGAAGAGGGGGCAGGGCTGGGTCCCCAGGCCCAGGGGCTGGGGCTGGCCCTGCCCAGACTGCCCGATGACCTTGAATGAGCCTCTGACACCTCTGACTTTTAGGCTTCCACTCTACCTCAGCCTTGACCCAGCTCCGCCCTCCCCCGCCCCCGGGGCACTGGGGTCCAGTGGGGGAGGGGCAAGGGTCCCAGGCCAGGCTCAGTGCCCAGGGCCCCACTTTGCCCACCCAGCCACACCCACCTCAGGTATGGGGTGCCCAGCAGACCCCAAGGACCACCCCTCGGGACCCCCTGGCCACCCGGCACCTCAGCAGGGTGACCCCCGGGCGGGGGCTCTACTGTAGCGGACAGGCACCCTGGGGGGGCACCCCTCACACCCTGGGGGGGGGCACCCTTGTTGAGCTTCACCTGGGATCTGAGCGGATGCTCCTGTCTGCAGACAGAAGGCCGAGCCCCGGGAAGCCCATGCCAGGGTGCAGTGTCCCAGCGCTGAGCAGAGCGCAGGCCCCTCGCCCCAGGGCCCTCTGGCCTGGGGGCCGCCGGTGGGCCCCTCCTGCCCAGCCCAGCGAGACAGCAGGTTCCGTGCAAGCAGCCGGCAGGCCCGTGTCCCGGGAGACGCCGCATCACGGGCACTGGGCGCCTCACAGCGCCGCCGGGTGCCCGTCTGAGCCCCGGCCACTCCCCGCTCACCCCCACCCCACGCCGCTCGCTGAGCTCGGGACAGCAATTCTCCCCCAGACACAATTCTTTCCCTTGCCTGCTCCCCCTCTCCTAAAGGCACCCCCCAGCCGGGGGGGGGGACGGGGGGGCGCAGGGCCTCCTGGAGCCGGTGCGAGCTCTCCTCTCCCCCGTCTCTCCGCAGACCTGTCCTGCGACGCCGCCGAGGCCGCCAGCCCAAGAGGGGACCGGCTGGTGCCATGCGCCCTGACTCCCGGACCCAGCGCCCTGGCCCTCGAGTTCCTGCCCAGCAAGCCGGGCGCCCGGCCCCCACCCGAGGGAGCCAGCTGGGATGCAGGGCCCGGCCGGGCACCCTCACCCTGGGCAGCCCCCGAGGAGGGCAGCCCTAGCTCAGGGCCCCCCGAGGTCCAGCCCCCCGAAGGGCCTCTCCCAGCAGCCCTGGAGCCGCGGATCGTGATGGGGGAGGAGACCTGCCAGGTGCCCCTGCCGCCCCCCCGGGCAGCCCTGCCCCTGCCGCGGCCCAGGGACCAGGAGCAGCGGCCCCAGAGCCGGAGCCCGCCCACCGCGCTGTGTCCTCAGGGCGACCTTCCTGTGCCTTTCCCTGCCCCTGACCCCGACTCCTACTTCACGCCTCCCTCCACCCCCAGCGAGGCCCCCGCCCTGCTCCCGGGCCCCCGGCTCCGCCAGGACCGGGAGGGCCCCCAGGCCGAGCCTGAGGCCTCCGGGGACTCGCCGCCCGCCTCGCCCTCCGGCTCCTACGTCACCGCGGACGGGGACAGCTGGGCCTCGTCCCCGTCGGGCTCCCTCAGCCTGCTGGCCCCCTCGGAGGGGCTGGACGCGGCCTCGGACTGGGGCTCCCCCCCGCCAGAGTCGGAGGCCCACGAGTGGGCGCTGCCCCCCGGGGGGTCCCCGGGGCCACCGTCTCCAGAGTCCAGCCTCTCCACGGCCAGCAGCTCCTCCTGCGGCCAGGAGGCCCACTTCTTCGAGCTGGATTTCCTGGCTGACGACCCGATGGTCCCCGCCGCCCTCCTGCCGTTCCGGGGCAGCCTGATCTTCCAGGTGGAGGCCGTGGAGGTGACGCCGCTGCCCCCGGGGCCGGGGCAGGAGGCCGCAGCCCCCGGCAGGGACCAGGCCGGCGAGGACGAGGACGCGGACGCCAGCAGCTTCACGTCCTCCCTGCAGTCCCTGTCCGACCTCTCCATGGCCGAGGGCGTGGACGAGGCCTTCGCCTTCCAGGACGACGCCTCGGCCGCCTCCTCCGACCCCGACTCGGCCTCCTACGCGGGGGCGGAGGATGAGCGGCTGTACAGTGGTGAGCCCCATGCGCAGCCCGCCGCCCCGCCAGGCCCAGAGTCCGGCTGGGCAGCCCCCGCCGGGCTCCCCGGGGCAGCTCGGCCCCAGCGGCAGGACGCGGGGGCCGCCTCAGGCCCTGAGCCCAGCCCCAAGCGCTGGGCCCCGGGAGGGGAGGCGAGCCGGACGCCCCGCCGGGGGGCTCTGCAGGACCCGGAAGAGGACGCAGGCCAGGAGCCCCCACCCGAAGAGGCGGGCCGCACCCCACCTGAGGATGCCGCCCCTGCAGCCACGTGCCTGCCCCGCCGGGATGCGGCCAGCCCTCTCGCCCTGCAGACGGACACAGGCTGCGGCTCCGGGGCCCAGCCCCCGGGCACCGGGGCCCAGCAGGGGGGAGGCAGCACCTGTGGCCGGAAGCCAGACCTCGGGAAGGACACGGGCCACACGGGGGACCCAGGGCCCCGGGCCTTGGGCCCCACCCGACAGGGTTGTCCAGAGCCAGCTGCAGACGCCGGGATGTGCTGGGCCCCACGTGGAGATGTGTGCTCCCCCGAGACTGCCACGGAGGCCCCAGATACCCCTGAACTCGCTTCAAAGACCCAGGACACCCCTGAACTGACCTCGGAGGCCCCGGATACCCCTGAACTCGCTTCAAAGGCCCAGGATACCCCTGAACTCACCTTGAAAGCTCTGGACACCCCTGAACTGACCTCAGAGGCCCAGGACACCTCTGAACTCCTCCTCTTGAAGGCCCAGGACACCCCTAAACTCACTTCAAAGGCCCAGGACACCCCTGAACTCACCTTGAAAGCTCTGGATACTCCTGAACTGACCTCAGAGGCCCAGGACACCCCTGAACTCACCTTGAAAGCTCTGGACACCCCTGAACTGACCTTGGAGGCCCCGGATACCCCTCAACTCCTCCTCTTGAAGGCCCAGGACACCCCTGAACTCACTTCAAAGGCCCAGGACATGCCTGAACTCACCTTGAAAGCTCTAGATACCCCTGACCTGACCTTGGAGGCCCAGGACACCCCTGAACTCACTTCAAAGGCCCTGGACACCCCAGAATTCGCCAAGGAGGCCCTCAACACCCCCGAGCCGGCTGCGGATATCCAGGACCCCTCACATCCCCCCATGGAGACCCTTGACACCCCAGACTCCCCCAGCCCTACCGTGGAGGTTCTGGATACTTCTGAGCCCTCGGCAAAGACCCCAGACCTCCCCAATCCCACCTTGGAGCTCCCAGACACCGCTGAGCCTGCTGCGGAGATCCAAGTCCCCCCGCAGTGCCCTATGGAGGTCCTGGACCACCCGGACCTCCACAAGGAGGACTCGGGCTGCCCCAAGGTCACCTTGGAGACCCCAGAACCTTCACATCTCCCCACAGAACCCGTGGACTCCCCCAAAGAGACCCTGGCTCCACCTGGGCCTCCCTCCAGGGGGGCCGAAGTAGCTGAAGGTCTGCTGGCCCCCCACGGAGAAGCCCCTCACGGGGCCCCCCTGCCTGTTGGTGAGGGGGCTGAGCCCCACTCACCCTCACAGGAGGCCCCAGGGGCGGAGGAACGGGGGCCCGGCAGCCTCAGGCCGCCCTCCCGTGGCCCTGGGCGGGCTCCTGGAAGCAGCGGCCCCCAGGCTGGCGCGGTGCACGCCCAGAGCCACGCAGGGACTGGGGGGGTCACGCCGGGGCCCAGGCCGCAGCCGGCTGTGGCCTCGGAGTCTCCAGCAGGGGCTGCGCCCAGGCTGGGCGGAGGCTGCCCCGAGGAGCCTGTGCCCCCATCTGCACCGCGGCCCCCACGGCCGGAGCTGAGCCCGGGTGGGGACGAGCAGGCCCGGGCGGCCCCTGGGGCCCCCGGCCCCTCCCCACCGCAGCCGCGGGGCAGGCTCCGGAGCCCTGGGCCCCCCACTCCCGGCGCACTCACGGGGGCGGCCCCTCCCCCGGCAGCACCCTCCGTCCCCTGCCCTTGCCAGGGTCCCCGAGAGGGCTCGGGTGAGGACCAGGAGCCCCCCAGCTCTCCAGACCGCCTGCCACCCCAGGCAGGAGCCCCACGGGCAGTGGCCGCCTCCTCAGGAACCAGGAAGCCCCCCGGGGCTGGGCCACGGGTCAGCCTCCCGCCCCACGCCCCCCTCCTCAGCCCCTCGGCTGCCCCCGTGGGGGGCACCCATACCAAAGACCCGGCCTTGTGGATCCCACCCCCCTGCCAAGTGCCTCCTGGCTCTGGGCCCCGGAGCCCGGCCAGCCCTCAAGGGTCCCCGGCCACGGAGCAGCAGGATGACCAAGACAGTCTGGAGGAAGGTGAGGGCCGGGCCGGGGCAGAGGGCCGGGCGGTGGCGGGATGGCGGAGGCCCCAGCCCCGCGGGGCAGGGCTCCCCTCACACCTCCCGCCCCCAGAGTCGCCCCGGGCCCCAGGCCAGCCCTCGGACAGCCACGGGGAGTCGTCCGCCGAGCTGGAGGAGCAGGAGCCCCCAGGACCTCAGGCCGTGCAGGGCTCAGCCCAGGTGCCTGCTGTGGGGAGGGTGCAGGGGCGGGGGCGGGGGGCCCACACCCCCCCTCGGCGCTGAGACCCACCCCTCCCCAGGCCCCGGCCAGCGGCAGCGAGGAGACGTCGGCCAAAGCCAAGCAGAGCCGCAGCGAGAAGAAGGCCAGGAAGGTGGGCTGGGACCCCGCTCCCTGGGGAGGGCCGACTGGCCTGGGAGCCCCCCCTCAGGACTGGGGCCCCGCCCACCCCTGGCCCCTGGGGAAGCCGGGTGACAGGACTCCCCCCTGAAACAGCCGGGCCCCAGCAGCCCGAGTCCTCACGCTGCCCGACCCACGGGGGCCCCGGCCCGCAGTGTGCCAGCCAGGCCGCCCCCCAGCACAGCCCTCGGCCGCACCCAGGCCTGAGCCTGCCATGCCCCCAGGCCATGTCCAAGCTGGGCTTGCGGCAGATCCAGGGCGTCACCAGGATCACCATCCAGAAGTCCAAGAACATCCTCTTTGTCATCGCCAAGCCCGATGTCTTCAAGAGCCCGGCCTCGGACACCTACGTGGTCTTCGGGGAGGCCAAGGTCAGGGAGGTGGGGGCATGGGCGTGGGCGTGGGCGGGGCGGGCTCGCTCACGGCTGGCTGCCCGCGCTGCAGATCGAGGACCTGTCCCAGCAAGTGCACAGAGCAGCCGCCGAGAAGTTCAAGGTGCCCACGGAGCCCTCCGCCCTGGTCCCCGAGTCCGTGCCGGGGCCACGGGTGAGACCGGAGTGTGAGGAGGAGGAGGAGGGCGAGGAGGAGGAGGTGAGCCCCTTGGAGGCGGCGGGAGGCGAGGGCTCTGGTGGGGAGGGGCAGCCCCAGCACCTGCTGCCCTCCCCCCAAGGTGGACGAGGCGGGCCTGGAGCTGCGGGACATTGAGCTGGTGATGGCCCAGGCCAACGTGTCCCGGGCCAAGGCCGTGCGGGCCCTGCGGGACAACCAGAGCGACATCGTCAACGCCATCATGGTGAGTGGCCGGCCCTCCTCGGCCCCCCCCCACCCCCCCGCTGCAGCTCCACCGGGCCACCCCCAGCCAGGGCCCTCTCCTCGTGTCCTGCAGGAGCTGACCATGTAGCCACGGGCCAGTGCGCGGCCCCACCCCGACCCCAGCTCTGCCGCCCAGGGAATGGGGGTTCCCTTCGCCTCTGCTCCTGCTGCAACCGCTCCCCAAGCGTAGCCTCTCGCCCAGCGGGGCGTGGGAGCCACGTGACACCCAAGGACGGCAGTCCTCCGCTTGTGTCCCACGGGGGACCTCCCCAGGTGACCCACTCCCACCCTCTGGGGGCGCCCAGCTTCCGCGGGGGCTGCAGGCAGACCAGTCACCTGGTGGCGGCCCAGCTGTGGGCCCCAGGACTGGCTCCGGGGGAGCTCCCCCGGCCCCGGACGCACAGGGTGGTCCCGCAGGCACCGGGCTGCGGGGGCTGCAGGGAGGCAGCCTTGCTCGGGGCCAGCGGTTCAGGGGCCCAGCTGTAGGGGGCCCCGCCCTCCCCACACCTCCCTCCTCCCAATCCCAGGGACCTGCAGAATGGGGTTCACGTCCTAGGACCAGGTGACCAGGGTCCCAGGATAGCACGGTGGGGGGCCCTGCAGAGCAGGAAGCCACGAGGGGGTGGGGCCCCCAGAGGGGAAGGCGGGGCTCCTGACAGTCCCCCAGGACCTGGCTCCCTGTGCGGGGGGGACCTGCCCTCCCCAGGGCCTCCTGCTCACACCCCAGGATTTGCGGGGAACAGGCACCTCTGCAGGGAGGGGGTGTCCTGGCCCCCTGCACCTGTCCCCACAGGCTGCAGGCTCTGCTCCGGGGCTGCCCCACTGCCTCCCCATGTCTGAAGGGCACAGGAGGAGCAACTGAGATCACAGGGCCCCCCGCCAGCCTCCCCGAAGACCAGGCCCCCAGGCCCCATGACGATACACTCAGGGTGGGACTGGTGGGGCACACCAGAAGAGGAAAGGGGGCATGGGGTTGGCTGTGGAGACCACCTGCGACGGCAGATGGGACCTGGGCATGGGCCAGAGCACAGGCAGTGCCCCTCGGAGAGCCTGGGGACCAGGTCCCACAGCAAGGCCCAGACACGGCCACGGGCACCCGGGACACCTACTCTGGGCCCCATGTCCAGGAAGCAGAAGCCCCAGGTGCACCCTCCCTGCTGGCGGTCTCACGAGCGGGCCCAGCTCCCCCGGGCAGGCGGCGGTGGCCCTGGACGGGCAGGACGGACGCCCAGCTCCCAGCGGGACCAGAAACACGCAGGCACCCGGAGACAGACCGTTCACATTGCAGCAAACTTCTTTGGGTCTCTGAGAGTTCTGACAGGGGCGCCGCGTGGCGGGCGAGAACGGCAGCTGTCCAGGTGCAGGCAGCTCGGGGTAGCCGCTGCCCCCCGCCCCCACCCCCAGCGTCTCCTTCACAGTGTAGGGCGGCCCAGCCCTGCCCGGCCCCGGCCTGCTCGGGCAGGTACCACGGGCACCGGCCCCTCAGGCCGAGTCCTGGTCCATGCTGCAGCCCAGCGCCTCGATGTCGTTGCTGATGTCCGAGATCATGCGGTCCCACTCGTCCCCCTCGGAGGGCACGGACTGGTCGTCGGAGCTGCCCGCCGCCCTGTTCCCGTTGGAGGTGGAGGTCGAGGCGGAGCTCGCGGCCCGCCGGCACCGGCCGAAGCTGTCGGTGATGATGCCACGGCCGTCCTTCACGCCGATGGTCTCCAGGAAGTTCTCGAAGTGCTGGCTGTCCTTCTCGGGGATGAAGGGCCGCAGGCCTGCGGGCGCAGCGCACGCCTGACCCCGCGCGTCCCCGACCCCGCGCGTCCCCCGGGCCGCGGCCCTGCCCGGGGCGTCCCGGAGGGAGAGATGGCAGCGCACCCTGGCCGCCCCGCTGTGCTCCCCCCTCTGGGCCCACTTCCTTCCAGACAAGACCGGGAGGACACAACACCCTGAGCCGGGGTCGCGGCCCAGGGCCTGGGGGCCTCCGCCAGCCGCCATGACCAGCCTGAACTCTGGGCTGCGATGGCGCCCCGCCCCGCCCCCGCCCCCGCCCAGGTCCCGGGCCTCACCCAGCAGCAGGAACTTGCGGCTGTCCCCGTAGAGCCGCCGCAGGTTGATGCAGAACTCGTGCACCGAGGCCCCGTCGCGGTAGTCGTGCAGCAGCGCCGCGAACTGCTGGATCTCCTGCGAGGACAGCTTGGTGCGCAGCTGCGGGGAGCGGGCGGTGACCGGGGGCCAGGCCCAGGCCACGCCCACCCGCGGGCACACGCAGCCCCCGCCCCGCCCCACGTGGCCCCGCCCCTCGCGGCCCCGCCTACCGTGAGCATGTAGTCCTGCAGCAGCTCGGCGGCCGTGGCGCTCAGCTCGCTCTCGCTGGCCGTCTGGGCGTGGGGCCCCGCGGGCACGCACTCGGGGAAGGAGCTGCAAGGACGGCCCCACCTGTACCTGCACCCGGGACACGCGCGGGGCCCAGGTAGGGCAGGGGGTGGGGCGGCTGACAGAGGGGCCTGCCGTGGGGGGAGGGCACCGCCGGGGAGAGGGAAGGACGAGGTGCAGGGAGGGACGTGGCAGGTGACCGCCGCAGGGTCTCACGCAGAGTGATGGCTCAGCAGTGTGGCTCTGGGGAGCCCCCTGGACGGACTGGGGGGCCAGGGACCCACAGGGAGGGGCCGCATGAAGGGCGGGAACTCACAAGGTGCTGGCGTCTGTCTCGTATGGCTCCTTCACGTCCGCCTTGGCGGAGGAGTCGTCTGCAGGGAAACATGGGGCAGGGTCGCCGGGCGGCCCCTGAGCAGGGCCAGCGCTCCGCGGAACGGTGGACCTGGCGCTGGGGGCTCCCCTGGGGGCTTCACGAGGCAGGGGGCGGGTGGCAGAGGGCCCCCCGAACCGAGGACAAGGAAAGGCCCGCCTCCGGCGTGGGCTCCCCCCGGCAACGTCCAGGCTTTCACCGCGTCTCCTCTGAGCCGGCAGGTCGCCATGGCAGCCCACGCCCGGATGGGCGCGGGGTGGGCCCTGCAGCCGCCCCCCGGCACACGGCTCCGTCAGACGGCAGAGGCCGAGACCCGCCCTGCCCCGCCCCGCCCCAGCCTGGACCCTGCCGAGGACAGAGACGGGCCACGAGAGGCCGAGGACCTCAAGCCGGCGGAGGGCCCGGCACAGCCGCTCCAGAGGACGCACAGCACGGACCGCGGGGCCGGGAGCACCGCCGCGGGCGGGGCCGGAGCTGAGGGAGAGGCAGCTGACCGAGTGTGGGACCGCGGAGGGGACGGGAGAGATCTGGGACGCTGCCGGCAGTGGGAGCACCGTCAGGGGTCAGGGTGGCAGGCTAGGCAGGGCCCCGAGGACGTCATGGCCCGGCCGGGGACGAGAGCACGTCAGATGACCCGCAGCATGACCCAACGCAGGGCGCCCGTCCCGTCCGGGGCTACCTCGGCGGGCCTGGGGGGGGCCCTCAAAGCACTGCCTCCCGGTCAGAGCCCCAGGACGGAGGAGGCCCCAGGAGCGGGAAGGGCAGGCGCGGCCTATCCCCGAGCCTCAGAGGGACGCACGGGGCAGTGCCCAGACGGAGCCCGAGGCGCACTGCGCCCCCCCCACGCGTGGCGAGGGCCGCCCACGTCCGAGCCGTGGGGCCGTGACACGCAGGGTCTCTGTGGGCAGCAGGCTCCCGGCCATGGTGGGAGACCTGGGGAGGGGCCGGCGGGCTCTCTCCGCGCTGGGAGGCCGCGCCGGGCTGCTGGGCCACCGCCTGCTCTCTGCGCGCCCAACTTGCAGAAGCCACGAGTCCTTAATAAACTCCAGATTTCAGAGGCTGCGCATCTGGGAGAGTGAGCTGTGTGCTCGGGGCGTCCTGGTGCTGGCGCGTGGGTCGCTGAAGAGCCGTGTGTGGGGCGTGGTGGCGCCCGAGGTTGTTCGGGTCAAAGCTTCCGGGGCTCCTGCGCTCACCCGCACCCTGCCGTCACCCCCCCACCCGCAGCCTCTGTCCTGGGAGGGACCCTCCCTGCCCAGAGCGAGCGGGTGGCCTGGGAGGAGGTCCTGACAGCCACAGGCAGCCCCCCGAGCTGGGAGCCCCCCGGCCCCTGTTCTGAGTCAGGTGGAGGGACCGCAGCCACACGGGGCTCCAGCGGGGTGCTCCCAGCCCCCAGCGTCACACGGGGAGCCACTCGGCCGGGCCGGGGCTCACACCTGCCTGGGCTGACCCTGCCGGCGACGTGACCGCAAAGGCAGAGCTCGGAAACCCAGGCTTCCGCTCACACCCCCAGGCCCCCGGAGCAGTGGCGGCCACGTCCCTGCGCTCCGACGCTGCCCGGGCGGCACCGCCTGCATGGCGGGAGCGCCCCGGTGGGAGAGGGCGGGCCCCCCGCTGCCCACCCGCGCCGCCACTCACCGCTGTGGAGGGACAGGTGGCGGGTGGGCGTCGAGGCCCCGTCAAAGATGGCCCTGTCCAGGAAGTCGATGGTGGACTCCGTGTACACGACCTGGAAGACCTGCCCGAGCAGGGAGCACAGCTCCTCCGCGGCCGCCTGTCGCGGGGCAGAGCGGCACCCAGACGCCTGACCCCTCGGTGCCGGGCGATGGGCGCCAGGACCAAGTGCCCCGCCCCGGGACCGAGGTCAGCAGCCCACCAGGACACTCCCTGCAGCTCCCCCACCGCTCTGCCGGCCACCGCCCACCCCTGGTCCCAGCCTGCCCCCAGCACCCCGATGGAGACCCCAGGCTCCACGCGCCTGCTGCTGCAGCAGGGCCCCCAGGACTCGGGGCCGGGTTGAGAGGGGCTTCCGGTGGGGACAGTGGCAGTAAAGAGGAACTGCCCAGCTGTGTCACGGCCGCTTCACAGATGCAGAAATGACACGGGGTCGGGGGGCATGGCAAGGGGTTCCTGGAGGCTGGTGGCCCTCACGTGGCTGACGGGGCCCCAAACCCTAACTCGCCACTCCCAGGAACCCGCCCACAGGTCACCGATTGGGGTGCAAGGGACAACACAGAGGAGGGAGGGGTGGGCGGGGTGTGGGTGGAGCCCCAGGGTGGCAGGGGCGGGGCTGGGCCGCCCGGACGGGCGAGGGCTGGTGGGGCCCCGGCTGCTGACCTTGCTCTCGGCGGCCAGCACCACCAGGCAGCAGGCCTCCACGGGCGCCACGCCGCTCTCGGACAGGGGGCCGGCGGCGAGGCCTCGGGGGCTTTCCGCGCACAGGCTCTGGCTGGGGGAGACGCCGGGGTCCTGGGCTGC